TGGAACACCATGGTGGGGACACATAACCAACATTCCTTTAAACCTGCCCCATGTCTCGTGTAGTGTCTCCATTGGTTTCTGTTTGAAGCTCACAATCTCATCAATTTGTTGAGCAGTTTTGTTGGGCGGATGGAACTTGTTGTGAAATTGCTTGACCAACTCATCCCAAGTTGCTATAGAGTTTCTGGGAAGCGAGTTTAGCCAAACCTGAGCAGCTCCTGTCACCGAGAATGGAAACAATAATAGCCTGATTGCTTCCGGAGTCACGTTGGGTTGCCTTTGGGTTTTGCATATAGACAGGAAGTTCTTTAAGTGCTGCTGAGGATCTTCTGTTTGTGTCCCAGAAAAGAGTCCCTTGTTCTGCAACAAGTGTAGCATGTTATTTGTGATCTGGAATGATTCAGCTTGTATTGCGGGCACAACAATGGCAGTGGCCAGATTGTCAGCTGTGGGTTGTGCCCAGTCATAAATTGCACCCTCAGGCACAGGAGGTGCCAATTGCTCATTCCTGACGTTTCCGTTGGGGTCGTTTATGTCGCCCATGTCAATTTCGAGTTGGTGTGTTTGTTGGGATTGTTGAAGTCTTTTGTTTGCAGGATTCAATACCCGGAATGTCTTCTCGGGGTCTGAGATTCCTTCAAGTAGTTCTCCAGTCCTCGTAGAATTTCTAGGCATGCACCTGTGTACCCAGATCAACAACCGTCAAATGTTCAATGAAGAAGTTGGTAGAGAGAAAACTGACTACAATAAGAATCTTTGTATTTCTGTCAATGGCAATTGATAATTCCGTTAACTCCCCAGCAACGGCGCCAAAGGTTGATCACGCCCAACTATGCCTTATAAAAAGGACTCTGCGGACGTTGCAAATATAACCCGAGTATTACGCCCAGGGTCGAATCTACAGAGAGTTAACCTATCAACCACTATCTTCAGACCCACTAAGTCTTCAGAACCAGCTTCTCAAATATTCAAATTCTCAGTTGAGTTTCCTTTAACAACTAGCTTGCAAATAACTAAGTGGCTGTAACTAAAGTAATAAGGTTGTAAACAATTATGAGGGAAAGCTAAGGCAATGATTTCCCCTATTGATGGAATCCCTTCTGTTTATGCTCATACAGATTTACCCACACATCTCTATCAATCATGAACGCTAATCTTACCGCAAATCTCTCCCGAGTAATCACAGTAATCTACTATTGCACTCTCCCGAGATACACTAGCTTCCTTTATTTAGCACAATTCACTTTAGATTACACCCAAGGCTTCGTTATCCCCAATCCCGCCTGTAAACCCACAATTATAGATTCCTCTAATAATCTAGGATTGGTGTTGTTCAACAATACCCTAAATATGCACTCTTTTCCAAGTTATGCACACTAATAGGCACAGCTAATTGATGAACCTGTCAATTAACTACAACGACACGAAGTTGAACAAATAGAGATTAAACTAGCAATTTGTATTCACATAAACAAGAAGTTCATCACCCAATAGGTTCCATCAACGCCTTAGACAAGGAATTTAGCTACTCATGGCTATGGAAAAATAAACTAAGATTGAATTCATCATAAAAATCAAAAGAAAAGAAGAAAGATGTTTAGAGTATTCTCTCACAATGGTTTTCCTTGCTAAGAAACCTTAAAAATCAATACATGCCTCTCTTGGGCGAAGTCTAATGTTTTAAATAGGGTTTAGGTCTAAAAATCCCGTAATTGACACTTTGGTCCCTGAAGTTTCTGCGCCTGCCGCGGTTCTGCCACGGTCGCGGTAGAACCGCGGCCAAACACCCTCGCGGATTCTCACAATTTCTGCAGCTGCTTCCCACCGCGGTTCTGCCGCGGTCGCGGTGGAACCGCGGTGGATCCAGTATTCTGAATTCTTCGGCCTGTTTTGCCTGGTTCACTTGGGAAATTTCACAGTTGGCCTCTTTTTCATCACTTGTAACTCCAAAACTGCTCCTTAGCCTTCCTTATACATGTATCACCTACAAATCATGAAAAGCACTAATAAGAGCATTTTGTCATCACTTTTAGCATTAAAACTATACAAGAAGGTGATTATTTACGGTGTGATTATAGTCAAATTCACCTATTATCACTGAGCAATATTTCTTACAAGGCTATCTCTCGAGATTGGACCAACTATTAATTTAGGACTGACTCAATTAGTTTTATTAGTATAAATTTTAATCCTACAAGTCATGAAAAGAAACAAAATCTCCAGCATGTGGCTTTCTTTATTTGGTATGCATTCTATCATTTTCCCTAATTGTTTGTAGCAGGGACAGTGAAATTGACCAGCTGGAGCTAAACACGGAGGTTGGAAGAATGGTCCCAAGTGTGGCCATACAACATTAAACTCGATACATGTTTGTGTTATGTTGAGGAAGAGGCAAACCCGAAAATAAAGAAGATAAAGAACACCAAATTTTAACGTGGAAAACCCTTCAAATCGAAGGTAAAAACCACGGGATCACAAAGATCCAAAAAGCTCCACTATAACAATAAGAGGGTTACAAAAGTTCTCCAAATTGGCTATACAACAAGGGCCAAATACGGAACAACAATAGCAACAAGAGCAACAACTAATCAATTGAAGAAAGAGTATAATCCACAAAAACGAAGCTGTTGTTCGAGGCTCGAAATCAGATGCTACCAGCCTCTAAATCCGATCTCCACCGTTCAAATACAAGACCAAGATGTTACGAACGCTCAGTCAAAATTTCAGCCCGATCCAATGGTTAACGAATCGGAAAACGTGATTTGAAGTTGGCTGGTTGGAAAAAAATCTGCAGCAAAACAAATACTTTTCTTCTCTCTTCTCTCTTCTCTCTTCTCTCTTCTCTCTTCTCTCTTGATGAAAGCTCTCTCTAAACCACTCTTATGTGCTTAAGTCTTTCAAAGACTTGTATCAATGAGCCTAGAATAATTCTCTAAGGTTGTCCTATTTATAGATCATGAGTGGTGCTTTCTCTTAAAGCCAAAACTCACTCAAAATAGGAATAAACCGAATCCAATTCCAAATAGGAATGGAAACCAAAAGAGAATAGGATTAGGTCATTGGGCCTTTGGCTGGACAACATGGGCATGTGCCCAACAGTTTGGAGTATCCCCTGGTCGATGCTTTCTTAATTACTCCTTTCGTTCACTTTTACTTGTCAAGTATTTCAAAATAAATTTTCATTTTTACTTGTTACTTTTCGCATATTAAGAGAAAAATAATTTTTTTTTTCTGTTTTACCCTTAGCATTAATTACTCATTCCAAATCATTTTTCAAATCCATTAAGACTATATATACACCAATTAATATGAGTATCATGGTAAATTATGTACTTATTTATTATTTATTAAAAATTGTGCAAAGTCAATAGTGAACAAGTTAAAGTGAACGGAGGGAGTACATAGTACCATCATTTTGGATCGGAAAATAATGCTTTTATTTGTTTTTTCTGTTCAATTGTAACTACCAGGATTATGTTCTCATGGTAGAAGGGCAAGATTTAAAATGGGTTTTGACGCGCAAATCAAACAATTTGCTAAGCCGATATGTGGAGAAAATCAAGGCAGGTGTGTGACGATAGCCGTAAATCTAGGGGAGAGGACACTTATTATGGGAAACCTAATAGTTTGGTTGGACCCCAGAAGCCAATATCTTTGGAGCTGCATGTGGATTGAGATTAAGATTTCTGATTTCCATGTTGACACCTTGACTCAATCAAGAATCCCACAAATAATTCATAAATGGGTTAAATATTTATCATCTGTATAGGTACAATCTTAATTTCCAACAAGTTCGATCGATTATATGACTGTCACCGTCTGTATTTACATTCATCTTCACGTAAATATTGGTAAAAAAATAAAAATTAAGAGAATAATTTCAGAGACATACCTTCAGATTTGGCTTTATAATACTAGTTGGTCCGACATCAACTCTTAGTTGGATAAATTATATTGCATACGACCAAATCATATTTCTTATCAATGTGTGTTATGAATGTTATTATTTATCATGGTTTTACACCTATAGATTGATGCATCTGGAGGTAGATGCAAGACATGATCTCCTTATAAAAATGTCTAGGAGTGCATCTAACAACCAATATGAATGAGCAAACTTTGCATCTTTCACAAATATTTTCATGACCAAATCTTTCTAAAGTATTAATTTTAGGAAGATTTTGTACTTGGACGAAAAGCCTTCACATTCTCATAAACCCCCATGTGGAGACCATGTGAGTGATTCTTCCTTTTCTTAGTCACTATCCTTTGGGTAATCTTTACCCGAAATATTATAAATATTTCAATGTAGTATAAATTCCAAAGCCCCATTTAAGGCTCTTTGACTAATTAGTCTTAAATTAATCACCTATTTCCCCCACCAGTCAAACATTTGTATCAAACATTTAGGAATAACTAAATTTGCATATGCTTCTTTGTAATCAAGTTCGTGATATTAATTAATCTCCCTCATAAGTACGTACTAAGTCATAAAGTCCATTACTTCTTCAAACTAGGGGGAAAATTTTGAAAAAATTAAATTAAATTAGAAATTGATAAGGAAAAATTTGATATTAAATTTATTTCTTGAGGATTAGTAAGTAAATTTTTATTTTGTTTTTTCCTAATCTTCGTTTTCCTTTTTTGCTCTATTTCCTGGCCTTGGAAGCGTAAAATTAGTCAAGGAGCAAAATAAGTGTTAATGCTGTTTTCTAGTCAAGAATGAAAATGTTAGTCATGGGAGCAAAATAATTAGGTGGGATTTGTGTTAGTGTTACTTTTGTAGCCATAATAAGTGACAAATGTCAGGTTTGCATGACACTAAGGGGACCTTTTTTTCAAAAATAAAAAAAAAATTCCTCTCATTTAGGGTTTTAGGTGGGACAAAGGCTTCCATGTGCCTGCATGTGCTGTGTCCTTCACTCATTGGCCCACCATCCTCACTTCCCTTTGAGCAAATAAATTAATGGCTACTTTTCACTTCTCTTCTCCTCCTCATTTCTTCTCTCTGTTGTTCTTCTCCTGCTGCAACAGATTTCTTGGATCTTAGAAAACAACATCCTCTGCTACTTAAATTCTTTATTTGAAACCTTCGAAGTAATTATCTTCTGTTGCTTATTATAGAAGAAGGTTCGCTAAGGTATTTCACTTACTACGTTTTCGCGCTTAATATAAAGATGTTACTCCCTTCGTTTACATTTACTTGTCTTGTTTCACTTCTCGAGAGTCAATTTGACTAATCTTTGAAGCTAAATTGGATTAGATTTTTTTAATATTTTAAAATTAATATTTAGATATTCGAAAATCGAAAGCTATACTAAAAGTACTATAATTTGTAATTCGTTTCATATCAATATGGTAAAAAAATAATACGTTAGCCAAAGTTTATGTAGTTTGACTCTCGAAAAGCAAAACATGACAAATAAAAGTGAATGAAGGGGAGTAGTTAGTCAAGGTTAACCAATTTTGCATGTTCTTAACATGTAGATATTCACACCTATGTTTGTCTATTCTAGTCCTAACACATTATCAATCGTCGACCCAAAAAACCAATTATGGTTCTCTTTTTGTGGTTAATATGTCAATAACTCTATAGTCGATTTTTCTTTCTTGGATTTCTAAGTTTAACCAGTTGCATGAATATAATACACATCATTCTTATATTTTTATTTTGATTTTTTCATAGAATGCGGAATCCTAGTTCAGTCAAGCAAGAATTTCTCAAGAAATGGATACAAGGACTTAAAGCATACAATGGTACAAAGAAAGAAATGAGCATAATGGAGAGAAAGAAAGTTATAAAGCTATCAGCAGACGTGGCCATGGCTTCCACTAGAAACTCAAAAACAACATATTGGGGTCATGCCCTTATCGCCAATTATGCTTCAAAAGATGTCAATAACAAGTTCATTGTTGCCCATATCCTGGGCGACGAGTACTCTGAAAGAATAAAAAAAGCTGCAATAATGAGGCTGGCTATGTCACACAAGAGCTTCAGAAGCAAGATTATCCTCAAAAAAAGCTGCAGCATATCAAGAAAAACTAAAAAAATGGCGCCTCGAATTGGGTTAGCTCGTTGTATAGCAAGGAGATTAGTGAAGAAGAGAACACAAGTTCTTAAAACACTTGTCCCTGGAGGAGAATACATGGATGATATGTCTTTGATCAAAGAAACTTTAGATTATATCCTTTCACTAAGAGTGCAAGTTGATGTTATGAGGCATCTTGCTAATGCTACTGATCAACTCTCTCATACCAAAACATAATCATATATAGTCATTCTTTAACTTCTTCTATTTTTTATATCATGAAGTACTTAATTAATTTCTTCTTCTTTTTTATACTCTTTCTAGTCTGATTATTAAGAAGAAGAATTAGAAGAAGACTGATGTTTTATACTTCAATACCACACAAGAAGGGGGTGATTTGTGTGGTGTCCAATTTTTCGCTTAAACTGATTATAGAAGGACCAGGTTCTTCTAGGTGTTCCTTAACCTACTATTGTAGAAATAGTAAATGCGGAAAGTAAATAACACAAGTATTTTACGTGAAAAACACCTAGCTCAAAAGGTGAAAAATTCACGACCTACTTCTCAGTAGGATTTTCCCAAACTCTCCACTAAATCACCGAGCCAAAAACTTCATATACAAAATACTTTTGTAAACCTAGGATTAACTCTAATGTCGTTGTGGCAAACAGCCTCTAACTGTTGCGACAACCTCAAGTTAATTCTAACATGAATACTCTGAGTACTTATTACAATTGCCTCTAGATAAAGCTAAAAGGTACAATATGAAAACACCTACTACAATTGAACTAGAATAAAAGACAGACACTTGGAACTGGTTCTTCTATCTGGTTCGCGTAGCTTCAGGTTTGCACACTTGAATCACACACGAACTGCTTGCAAAAAGCCTTGTTATTTTGCTCTCAATTCATGTTTAACTTCAGCGTTTGTGCGTCACCTGTAATGTGAGAACATCCTGCAATTTATAGAGTTAGTAGATGAAGAAATAACTAGAGTTCTAATGCTACTCTTCCTTGGTGGAAGAGTTCTAGTTGATCTCAACTTCTAACTCCTTCCCTATCTTGGACAGTGTTCTCTTTGAGTAAGGAGTCCTTCTCCTTATCAATTATGCAACCTTTTCGATCAAGAGATATTAAATATACCAAGTTAAGCTTATCTCCTTCACGTACATCTCACATGGTCCAGTTTGCCCGTTTCTATGCACCAAAAGGAATGGACCTAGTTCATGCCTAAGCTTCCTTTGTCAATCTTCAAAACTAACCTTCACTTGGTCCAACAAATTCCCCATTTTTTATGATGACAAACTCTCTGCTTTTCATAAGCTTAGGCCATGTTTCAACTTAGCTCAACATCAACACAGTGTTAGAAATATTTTTTCTTTTTATCACTTATCATCAAGGACCAGGTTCATTAGGTTATAAGCATCACTTGTTTAAAGCACACTACCTTTTTTCCCCTTTTGGCATCATCGAAAAGTTGCATAAAAAATATGCAATACCCAGATTTTAAAACTTACTCATGGACACTAGGGCTATCCCAAATGCAATCATGGATTAATCATCATCGATCAAGCTAAGAATTTCAACCATCAAAGAAATATAAACAAACAGTTAGAGCAAAAACCAGCAGATTTCATTGATTTCATTGATAGGTGATATGATTCTTCCACAAAGCATAAAAGGATATAAAAATACTGAAAACATGAGCAAACATAAAATATCTCAAACTGGGTCATTGAAGGAACTAACTAGGCTAGGAAGTTAAGGCTTGGAAGAACTAGATGCTGGGTTATTGGCTTGGAGAAGTTTCAGCATGTCTGGAAGAATTCCATCATTCTTCTCCTTTTCCCTTGCAAGTTCACTTCTTAGAGCATCTCTCTCAGATTCTGCCTCAGCCAACCTTGTCTTCAGCCTTGCTATCTCAGCCTCTTTTGCCTCACTTTCCTGCACCAAGGATCTGACCTTGCTATTGACTGGTACCTTCTTGGATGAACCAGGTTCATTAGAAGTGGCAAGAACCTCATAGTCACAAGCAATCACAGTTTTCCCCCCAAAGTGATCTTTGCTTGTAACCACCTCCCACTTCTTCAAAGGCACCTTAAAATGTGCAATCACAGCTGTGAGAATGAAGCCATAGGGAATGGCATGCGACTTGGTGCCATTGATAACCCTAATCAAGAAGTTGGATTTATAAAACCAGGCCAATTTATCTGCCTCCCACTGTCTAAACACTCCATGAGAAACAAATACATAAAGTTTGCAATGTGCCTCCTTTCCTGCCTTGGCAGAACTCATTTGATGACAAATTCGAACAACACTTTGTGGGATGGCTTCATCTCACTCTTGTAAACAGCCTTGGGCTCCAATTCCTCCTCGTTGTTACTGAACGTTCTGGTAATGGCAAGAGCAGTAGGAAGGTTTTCTAGGCTTGGCTACTTAAGCTTTGTGTAGTCATTATACCCCTCAGCAGGTATACCTAGAATTTTACCCAACTCCTTCATATCAAAAGAGATTTGCACCCCTTTCACCAAGCTGGTAACCCTTCCATCCTGCACTGCAGCATTTGCCATAAACTCAACCATTTCATCCCTAGCCAAACTGTCATCCATCTGAAGGACCATGTCCTTCCAGCCTTACACTTCTAATTTTTCCCACAACAGTACCATCATTTCCTCCCCCAAATCCTTGAGGAGTCTGCCCTTCTGAATAGTTCTTTTGCCAAACTTGGCCATCTTGTTCTTTTCACTGTCTGATTCATCTTCCTCTTCTCCACTCCATTCATGTTCTTCAGCAATTTTTACTTGTTTGGGTTTCACTGCAGACTTGGTCCTTTTTTGCCCGGGTGGATGGTTCAGCAAACTTTGACATAGGAGTAGACTTCTTAGTGGAAGTCTTGGCTTTCTTGGGCTTGGGAGTCTGAACCTCCACTTCAGCATTTTCATCTTCATCTTGATGGACCAGATCCATCTCATCCACATCAACAGCCTCAACAGGCTCTCCCACTTTCTTCTTCCCTTTGTCCATTCGTTTCTTTTTGCTTTCTTCTAATGCTTTCTGTATCACTTCCTCATTTTGCTTCAGTTGACTTCTTGTGGCTCTTCCTCTTATGGGAGGAATTTCAATAGTGTCAGAAGGAGCAACCTTTCTTTTTTTGTTAGTCCTAGCAGTGCCAGGGCTCTTAGTCATGGAAGTTCTCTTCTTCTTAGGGTTGTAGTTGTCACCTACTTTCTTCAAAAGGTCTGCGAGGGTTTCTTCAACTGATGAACCAGGTTCATCTTCTTTTTGCCCAAGATTAACCAGCCCTTCAGCGGCTTCGCCATACCCACTTCCCCCTGTTTTCTTGACACTTTCCTCTATGTTATCTGATCCTGCTCCACAAATAGCCATTTTACCTTTATCAGAAGTGGGTGAAGAATCAACCACTCTTTTCCCCATTCTCATTTCTTCACTTCGAACACCCTCACTCTCTTTTTCTTTTTCCTCTTTATTTTTACCACCTCTCTTCCTGGACTCCGAAGTTTCTACACCCACCACAGATCCAACCAAAGTAAACCTATTTTCCAGATTTTTAACTACCAAAGAATAACCTCATTAGTAGTATTTGTTCCAGAATTTACCTGTTCATTATCAGAAGACCCAGTTTTGTTCCCCCTCAGTAGCAAACTTGAAGGAGTCGTCAGAGTTCTAGGGTTATTGGGCTTGGCTAGATGTTAATTGTGCGTTCAATTTCTTTGATAATTCCTTCCAACTTTCTTGCGCGCAAGCATCTTAATTCTTCTTTTCTTAGGCTGAGAAGTGGTTGAAGATGAGGAGTTTGGTGGGGGAATACCAGGGTTATCAGAGGGGTTAGTCATTTTGTGCTTGGTTCTTGAAAGGAAGAAGAAAGTTAGATTGAATTTTAGAAGATGAGAGAAGATGGAGACAAATTTCGACGGTCTAAGAATAACGAAGAAAAGGGAGAGATGATGATAATCAATTTAAAAGGAGGGATAATTAATGGGTAACGGCAGGCTTCATCAGTCATTTAGAAGTCTAATCGAACTGAAATTTCAGTTTGAATAGACGGTAGAGTCTTCCCTAGGATCTAGGTGATTTAATTTGGTTAGGACTCTTTTGAACAGAACTGGTTCAAATTTATTGGATATGTTTAAGAGAAATTTGGACTTAGGTAGGACTCTGCTCAGGATTCAAATATCATTATTTCAAATTATGCAGAGTGTAGAAAACATACCTTGTTATCTTGATGAACCAAGTTCTTCACTGATAAGTCTCTTGTGTAAGTCTAAAATTTTGCCAAAATAGAGAAAATAACATTAGAGATTAATGAATCATTTTAACACATGAAACAAGAGTATACTTTAAAAGTATGAGACTAAGCAAAAATTAGTCTAATTATATACACATTTTACAGATTTTCTAACCAAAAAAAAAAATTCAGTTTTTTTCATTGTTTTCTTTTTTTTGTTTAACATTGAACTGGTCCTTTTAGTTGATCTAATCATCCCTAATTCCAACATGTTCCTCTCAAAGTGATCTCTAATTAAGGCTTTTGTGAAGATGTCAGCAATTTGCTTATCAGTAGCACAAAACTCTATAGTGATCAAGCATTTCTCATAGTTGTCCCTCAAAAAATGATTCCTATCATCTATGTGCTTAGTTCTCTTATGATGAACCGGGTTCTTTGTCATACTGAAGGCACTAGTGTTATCATAAAATATAGGTATGCAAGCAACCAACATCAATTCCAAAGTCCAATAATTGATGTTTGATCCACAGCAATTGAGCACAACATGAAGCAACAGCAACATACTCAGCTTCAGCAGTAGATAAGGCCACCGAATTTTGCTTTTTGGTAGCCCATGACACAAGACATGAACCAAGGAAGTGTGTCATACCTGAGGTGCTCTCCTTATCCACAAGGAAACCTGCATAGCGTCAGCATATCCCACTAGGTTAACATTACTACCTTTTGGATACCAAAGAAAAAGGTTAGTGGTGTCTTTCAAGTATCTCAATATTCTCTTGACAACAGTCAAGTGGGACTCCTTTGGATTTGCCTGAAATCGAGCACGAAGACCTACACTGAAAATAATGTCAGGTCCGCTAACAGTAAGATACAAAAGAGAACCAATCATTCCCCTATAAAACTTCTGATCAACAGATGAACCAGGTTCATCTCTATCTAATTTTGTGGTTGTGGCTATAGGAGTATCGATTTCTTTTGATTATTCCATTTTAAAACCTTTTAACACTCACTCTTCACATATTTCTGTTGATGGATCTAGTTGATTTGAGTTTTTGTTCATTTTTAAGCCTAAAAGAAATTATGCTCACCCATCATACTCATTTCAAATTCACTCCCCAATTAGTTTAGCAAATTCCTTACTTAGTTTATCAGTAGTTGCTCCAAATATTATGTCATCAACATATATCTGTACTACTAGAAGGTCTTTACCTTTTTCCTTCAAGAATAAAAGTGTTATAAAATTTACCTCTCTTTGTAGCCATGATCAAGCAGGATTATTTTGATAATCTTTCACTACCATGCTCTAGGAGCCTACTTGAGCCCATAGAGTGCTTTATCTAGTTTGTACACATGATCCGGACACTCATTGCTTTCAAACCCTTGAGGTTGCTTGACAAATACTTCTTCCTTTAAATAACCATTGAGGAAGGCACTCTTGACGTCCATCTGGTGAAGAGTAAATTCTATGTAAGCAGCAAAGGCTAAGAGAAGTCTTATTGCTTCCAACCTTCCAATTGGAGCAAAGGTCTCATCATAGTCTATCCCTCCTCTTGGCTATATCCTTGAACCACTTATCTTGCCTTGTTCCTTGTAACAGTTCCATCTTCATCAAGTTTGTTTCTGAAGACCCATTTTGTGCCAATTACTGATCTGTCCTTGGGTCTTGGAACCAGATTCCAAACTTGACTCCTTTCAAACTGATTGAGTTCATCTTGTATTGCATTTACCCAGTCTGCATCCTACAAAGCCTCAGCAACATTTTTAGGTCCAATAAGAGATAAAAAAGCATCAAAAGCACAAAGATTCTTTAATGAAGATCTGGTTTTAATTCCAGAGGTTGGATCAGTAATTATGTTCTCAATGGGATGAGAACTTTGGTACTTGTAAGGTTTCACAACCAACTGGTTTTCTCTTGATGTTTCTCCAATATTTTGTTGCTGAGGAACAGGCTCATGGACAGGTTCCATCGAGGTATTAGATTCAGTTCCTCTTTGTTCAGTTCCCCCTGTCAGGTTGCCCTGAATAGAAGAACATGTTCCATCATTTGTTCCTTCTTCTGGTGCAACTTCATCCCGGGCTGTGATTTCATTTAAACTTCTTACCAGCCTAATTGCTTCATCTTCATGTTCCTATCTCTCAGAAAGAATGTTAGTTTCATCAAAAACCACATGTACACTTTCTTCTATACACATAGTTCTTTTGTTGTATACCTTAAAAGCTTTACTATGTGAAGAATATCCCAAGATACTCCTCATCACTTCTGGGATCGAAATTACCTAGAGAGTCTTTACCATTGTTGTGCACAAAGCACTTGCATCCAAATGCCCTAAGATGGGATATATTTGGTTTCCTCCCTTTAAGTAACTCATAGGGAGTCTTTTGTACAAGAGGTCTAGTCATGCACCTATTGATGATGTAGCATGCAGTATTTACAGCTTCTGCCCAGAACTATGGGGCAGTTTACTAGAAAGAAGCATAGTCCTAGCCATATCTTCAAGTGTCATATTCTTTCTTTCAACTACTCCATTTTGTTGTGGAGTCCTAGGAGCAGAAAAATTATAATCTATGCCATGCACATCACAAAATTTAGCAAACTTAGCATTTTCAAATTCAATTCCATAATCAGACCTAATTGATGCAAGTTGATTACCTAGTTGTTTTTGAGTTTTTCTAACAAAATAAGTAAACATGTCAAATGCTTCATCTTTAGATGTTAATAACAATGTCCAGGTAAACCTAGAGTAATCATCAACAAGCACCATCACATATCTTTTACCACCTCCACTTAATGTTCTCATTGGACCACAAAGATCCATATGGACCAGTTCCATCGTTCTGGTGGTGCTTACCACTTTCTTGCATTTAAAAAAGGACCTTACCTGCTTTCCCCTTGCACAAGCCTCACAAACTTTGTCTTCCTTAAACTTGATGTTAGGCAGTCTTTATCACCAAGTCCTTGGAGACTAATTTGTTTCAGTTGACTTAGACTTGCATGTCCAAGTCTCTTGTTCCACATGAGGGGATCATTGTCCAACACGCTTAAGCAAGTGAGTTTATTTTCTGAGAGTGTGGACAGATCTACAATGTAAATATTGTTTACTCTTTTTTCCTGCAAAACAATCTTGTCAGTGGTAAGATTTATCACAAAATATTTGGTAGAGGTGAATGTTACCAAGTTACCTCTGTCACACAGTTGTGATACACTGATTAGACTGTATTTCAAGTTATCTATCAAGTAGACATTCTCAATAGAGTGAGAGTTTATCTTACCTACCTTTCCAACCCCAATGATCTCACATTTCTTTCCATTTCCATAGGAGACATTTCCTCCTTTGAGGTCCTTAAGTGAAAGGAACTGGTTCTTGCTTCCAGTCATGTGCTTTGAGCAGCCACTATCCATGTACCATATTTGGCTGCTCCCCTTCACATGGATCTGCAAAAGGAAATCAGGGGTTAGTCTTAGGAACCCAAACTAGTTTGGGTCCATTTCTGTAGGCAAATGGGTGAATTAGATTCTTTTTGGCCTATCTTGGCAGCCTATTTTTCCCTTGAACAAATATTTTATTCTTTTGACTAGCCTTTTCTTTTGCAGTACATTCACTTTTGTAGTGACCAGTCTTACCACGGTGTGTGCAGATTTTGTTCTCAGGAAGTGTGATGTACTTGCTTTTGGGATCCCACTTAGGTGCAGGGGTCCCGTAGACAAGTCCTCTCTTATTGCTACTATGGTGTTCTTGTAGCCATGAAAGTGCATCAGAGGCCCCTATTCCATTTACAGGTTCTGTCTAGCTCGTGTTTGACCTTGCTTAGATCCTCATTTAGGACTCTTATCTGCTCATCTCTTTTGTACAACTCATCTTTCATTTTCCTAGGCTTTCTTCTAAAGTGAGTTATGTGTGGTCCGCTTTCTTTTTACCTGTTCCTAATTTTAGTTTTAGATTTTCAGATCTAAGCTCTAGGATACTGGTGTCAAGTTCAAGAAGCTGGTTCTTTAACTCAACATTTTTACTATCACTTTCACTAGCCCTAAGTTCCAGATTTTTGTACTTAGCTTTCAAAATCACACACTCCTTAGACATTTGTTTCTTTTCATTGTTTAGATCCTCAGATTCATCAATGAAATCCAAGAGTAACTCAGATAGCCTTTCTTTAGACAAAAATTTAATCTTGTCTTTTAGATGAATTACAC